TTTTGGGAAGTCTCCCCCTGTAGTTTTCCAGAGATGCAAGAGATTTAAGGGGGTCAGGAAAGGGGACTGCTAGATAGAAATCTAATTAGGTGATTGTGCTTGAGGGAGCTTCACTAGCTGCTCGATAAACTCCCACACACTCCTCTCTCATTTTTCTCCCTCACTTTACACTCTCTCCCTTGGCACTTAGTTTCCACTCACCCTGCGATGCTGCAAGAGAGTCCCCCCCACTGAGGGCACAGTCACAGAAAGCAGATCATGGCTCATTTACTACATCTTCACTGTTGTTCATATTCTTCAAATAGAGGAGTAGATGCATCCCCCGGTTGATTATAAAGTTATTGCTTATAGTGTCTTCTCTTTGCTCATTATTCTTTTACCTTCAGAGAGAAATAAAGTTGACAGTGCTTCAGAGAATGATGAGAAGAAACTATCATCCCGTTTTGGCATACAACACTGAACTGTATCTTTCATGTATCACTGTGTATGTGTGGTAGTTTTTGCTCTATGTCACTGTGTCTGTTATTGTGTGAGAAGACACACACGCATAAAGATGTTTATTGCCGGTCAAAATACTCTGTGAAATACAAATGTCTTTAAAAAAGGGGATGTTTGTCCCTTTTTGAATTTTGCTTGGCCTTTGCTCTTCTTTAGATTCTCATATTAAACGAATCGAAGTGTGATTATAGAAGAAATCAAAGATATAAAACAGCAGTGCAAACATTTGAGCAATGGTTTACAGTATTTTCATGAAATAATTTGCAATTTGCAGTCATATAACTCTGATGGAGACAACATGCCGACTGTGGCATGGATGTTTGTACCAACACTGGCAATGTGTGACATATTCAAAGGGTGTAGGAAACTTTAGTCACGGTGCTCCAATCAAGAAAGCAAATGAGATGGCATTGCTCATTTTTCCACATCATTGTGGAAAAGAAGATATCAAAATATCTTGGGATTACATTAAACATCATTTACATTTAGAGTATGTATAAGGTTGGATCCTGGCATTATAGCTTAAGAGTTTTTTTGTTTGTTTCTTTTTTTTCTTAACTCTAGATCCACGCATGACCCCATTTTCAGAGCGCTTGTCTGAAGCACTTATTGTTGCTAGGTTACAAAACCGTCTTCTTCGATGTTAGATTGTAAATTACTAGTTTGTCAGTGACAGCTAGAATCAGTTTCTTCTTCTGGCACTCTGGACAGTATTGATATTGTAGGTCCCACCTCTTCTTGGTTTTGATTGGTTAGGGAGAAAGAAGTGACACTGATGAGTGCTGTCATGCTGAACTATATCCAAAATTGTTCTATTTTCAAACTGACAATACAAAACACTGTGTACTTTAGTGTTTTTTCACCAAATACAGCTACAGAAGATTTGTATCCTCTGATACTGTGCAAAAAAACTTTTAAATTTTCAATTCAATTTTGTTTATAAAGTCGGCTATATAAGTCGGCTAAAGGCGCTTTATATTGTAACAAAAAGACAATACAATAACACTGAGAAAAAAAGCATGCCCTGTGGGCATAGAACCTCATTCTACATGTCTAAGCTACCACACACATGCAAAGCCGCTCTTAATGCTTCTTGACATAAACTTGCAAAGCTGTATGTGACTCAGTATGATCTCACATTAAACAGACTTGCCAGTGCCCTAGAAAGTCTGTGTTATGTCTGATTGTGTCTGAGTTAAAAACAGTAAAGGTAAATTGTTCTGGGAGTTTTATCTGGGCACTGCAGACCGTAACCAAGCACTCACATTGCTCAACCAAACGGTATTTCGAGTAGTGTGACCGTATCTGATATGGAGAGGCTCACGGTGTGTGGCGGACGTGAGAAAGGCGAACTGCAGACGTTATCCTGATATGATTCTCTTGACACTGTGTAAAAAATGTGGAATATAAAATGTGGGATTTGAGTCGTCTCATAATATGCTTTCATTTTTTAATCACATTTTATAAGTGCAGCCACTATTTCATAGTCCATGTGTTTCTATAATTTGTGAGTGGAGATTTTGCACCACACTGAGGAAGAAGCAGTGATTTAGTCTGAAATCATGCTGTAGCATTTTGTAATTACAAAGTAAGGCATATTTTCCAAAACAGCCTCCCTGAGCTGTTAGTATGACTAAGCCTGTTCTGTGTTTGAGATGCAACGTCAATCCTGAGACGCTGTTTATTGTGAAGGCACAATTGTGGCCCGGAAGTGTGCTCAGCAGTAGCTTAGTCACAGTAATGCATAGCCATCACTCAGGCTCAAAGAGTTCTGTGCAGTGCCATAAATGAGGCTGTCTCACAGACGGGCAAATTGAGCTTAAAATCACACAATGAAGCAGATGACTTTATATGTGAACCACATGGATTACATCTACAATAATATTGTTTGAATAATCAATTTACAGATGATGAATGAAGGACGCAGTTTTGTAAAAGGATGAAAGGGAGACACTTTGTAAAAGATAAATGTAAAGGACAAGCAATTAGAGAAAAAGGTAATCACCGTGACAAACAGTGAGAACAGGCCAAAGAGGCATACGGGTGAAGAGAAAAGACAGAAGGGTTTAGTTCAATAAAAAACTCTTTAACATTTTTCTGCACCTGTATCTTGCATCTAAAAGAAGAGACTGTAACAGCTGAGTAATGGCTTGATACATTTCTCTTGATCTTATCTGATCCTGCGTGCTTTTCTGAAACCAGACAAAGGAATTACAACTGTCGAACACCTGCTTTAATCATTCTGAAAAATGCCTCACTTAAGAGTTCTGGAGGTTGTTTGTCGTGTGTGTCTCTACTGATTTTGAACTGTGTGTGTGTGTGTACATGTACCCGTCACCTAGTACAAGATAAAACTTGTCTGCCTTAACACCAAAAACAATATTACAAAAAATAACTCCACTATAAAGGCTAAAATGAATTTGCTGGTCTTTTTACAAGGTTCTACAAAAATTATAACAGTGGTGGACTTCAGGAGATATTGCCTGTTCCACATTCCTTTCTCAACCATCTACACTTTATATGTATATTTTTAATCATTTGTTTTATGCAATGATTTTCTGCCTAGACACTTTATCTCTGTCATATAATGCGGTGTTTTGCAACTAAGTGCAGAGTGTCGAGCATAAGTACTAAATCTTTAAAGAATGTAGATTAGGTCAGAGGGAAGCTGTGTTTGCAATCAGAATAATGCTGCTGATGACGACTGAAAAAAATGAGTATCTGGACATTTGTTTGTTTTTGTAATTTTATCAGAACCACTGAAGTTGATTGCAAATCAAACAATTAAGATGTGATGAGGCTTAAAATCCACAGACTCACAAATGTTAAATGTTCATTTTTTTCCTTCTTCTTCCTGTTAAAAGGGAGTTTTTTCTTCCCCCTGTCACCAAGTGCTTTCTCACAGGGTCTTATCTGGTTGTTGTGGATTTCTCTGTATTATTATATAAGCAACCTTTGTTGTGATGTAGTGATAGGGTTGGACTGGTAATACTTTGCATCTGCCAATGGATCAGTATAATTTATTTTTCTCTTTGTTGACATAATTAAACAGTCTACAGGTCGGCTTGAAGTGCTGGCACTACAAGCACTGACACCCGCCCATTGGTTAATTTTCATTGCTGACACTGGCTTGCCCCATAAAATCTCTTAACTTGACCGGCCCCTCCACTACCTTTCCTGCACGCTCATGCACCTTGTTGGACAAAGTTTAGTGGCCACTGAGAACTGCTGGAGGGACAGCAGTCCCAACAAGAGGCAGAGGAAGGTGCAATTAATTTTAATATTCATTTAATATTAAAGTGCAGAAATCACATGGATGGGCATAATAGAGAAAGAAGAGATTCAAGAGATTAAAAAAAACTTTTTAAGATAAGTGTGGTTCAAACTGTGGCTCATCTGACCAAGTGTGAGTTGTATGAAATCAGTTATTATGAAAATATTTACATCATCTAGTTAATGGCAGCTGGAAGACATGGCTAAGATAACACGCATTAATATAAATAGAAGGGTGAATAAATAAGTTAAGTTATATCACACATGCATCACAAATAGTTTTCATCTAGTGCCATCGTAACATCCATGTCATGTAGATAATTTTGACATTTATTTTGAACAAACAAATTTGAAGAGGTACTGTTTTGTCTGTAGCTTTTTTTGGTTTATTTTATTTACCTAAACCCAGTGATTGTTTTGCAATAAGCAAAGATGAAGATAATCAAAATAGTAATGACATGGCCTTAGAGGTTGTGTACTGGCAGAGGAAACATAGAAACAGAGCCGATGGATGTGATGTGAAAATATCATTTATCAGCTCGTGGTTTCATGCTGGCTGTGGAGTAATAGGATGAGAGGAAGATGAATTGTCCCTGAGACCCCCATGTTAAGGTGAAAGGATCTCCAGGGGCTGTTTGATGTCTGTTCAGCTCGCAGTGAATCCTATCTCACCTTATTGTATCCACACAGAGTTCTCAAAATTGGATCACAGTTGATTTTTATCTTTGAATGTGGATCACTATTATTGCATTAGATAGGAGAACTACACCCCCACCTAGTCTGTCTTTCTTTCTGTTCTCCTACACATTTCCATTTTGACTTTACTCCTTCTTAGCACAAATATGGCAACATCAGAGAGTGTCTCTGACTCTGGCTCTTTTTTCTGTTCTTAGTTCTTTTCTCTTTTTAGTGAGATATTTTATGCCGGTTTTGCATTTCTACCATTAAGACTTTTTTTTATTATTTTGCTGTGTCAACTTTCTAGAAAGGATTTTTTTCAATCTCTTTGCAACTGTAGTCCCTTTAAACTACTCTGTTATATAGGACGCTTTCTTAGTCTGTTGCATCCAAGTACACTCGTTCCACATCAGTTTCTCCTTTATAAAAGAAATATTTGAAATGCAAAGTATTTTTATATATACATTTATTTGAAATGGGTAGAAAAGTCTTAGCATCTGTGCCTTCTTTCTTGTTACTTTATTTCACTTCTTCTTCTTTGCTTTCCTAAGTTAATTCACACCATCAGTGTGGTGGATAGGGACGAGCCACAGACTGGACATCGTTTCTACTTCAATCTTGCCCCTGAAGCCTCCAGCAATCGGTACTTCTCCCTGTTGGATTTGAAAGGTAAGAGGGCAAAGATCCTAAATTAAAGTTATGTGTGAATAAGCATTCAGTATTTGTGCAGCTTTGCTGATAAGATTATCAGCACTATTGAATTTTTAGGTAATGACAGTAAAAGTAGGAGTCCAGTCTATGACCAGGTGTTATATTTGTTGTGAGTGAGTTTAAGGATTTGGATGTGCACAGGTGTGACATATCTATAATGAACTGATACTTACCACTATAATGAAGTGATAATATTAATAATATTATATTATTAATAATTGACCCCTATAAGGTCCAAGTGATGAGGGAAAGTAACAAAAAGTATCCAGGTTGAAAAAAAGGAGACAAGGAGGCACAATTGCTAACTTAAAAGTTTGTATTAATTTTTTTACTAAATAAATTGAAAGAGACGGAAAAGCCACTATCACCTTTTAAAGACAGGAAACGACAAAACCCGAGTTTTGTCACTGAATTATAAAGTAACTCAAAAAGGCTGAATCACCAAAACAGACACTCCTCTTCACAGAGCAGGACTAAGCAACCACCACACACAGCTCTCTAACTACAAACCAAAAAGGCTCTCTGGCACTAAGTAGTCTGGCACCTAAGACGGGACAGGCAGCAGGACATTCGCATACAGGGTCAAATCACAGGAGTCCCTGCAAGGACCGTACCGCTATATAGAAATTTGGTGAAATCCATTTTTAAAAATACACCTTAAGACAATGTTTACTTGAAAGACTGTTGCTCAAAAAACTTTGTGAAAATATAAATATAAATCCATAATTACAGTTTCTGCGTTATTTTAATCCAGTGCCAGATGGTTGATGTTTTTAACATAAAATAATCGATAAAGTTAACTGCCAGAAGACAAGTTGTTTGAGATGTTTTTTACGGTGTAGGGAAAATTGTGTATTTTTTTGTGTGATTAGACCTTTGTCTCATAAAAGGGAGATATTTCTATTATTATTTTCTGGATAAACACCAGCTGTTACGCTCCTGTTAGTTGGGAAAAATATCATTAGAAAATATTGCATGCCAGCATGTGGATGATTCTCTCCATTTTAAAAAAGTATTTTTATGGTTTTATGGTATATCTCATAAACTGCAGAGTTGTACCGTGACTATATTGTTTTCAAAGCCTTTTATATAAATGTTTAAGCTTTGCAATATCTTTCACATTTGAACACTTTAACAGTGGATTTTTTTCCTCTATTCCTCAAATGATGACTTTTTTTTTTTCAAATATTGTGTTGAACATAAAATTTATACCTACCTGCAAAATGTAAAGAAACATTAAAATCAGTGTTCCCCAGTGATGACTTTGCTTTGTCAGGAAGATGAGCTTCTCCATGCCTGTCTGTGTTTTTGCAAATGCACTTGCAGATCCGTCGTTTAGATATGTGCACCTAAGTGAATGTGACAACTGGCTAAATCAAGATTGATCTGACACCAGGAAAATGTCAGGGGAGCAGCCAGAGCCACAGAAATGTCACTGTAAAGGAGGCAGCAAGGTCTGCTGCAGTTCCGCTCGCTTACATGTGAATCCAACAAATATAACACAATAATAAAGATACGGACACTGGGGACAGCAGAAGTATACCACAAGTGTTTTTCTGCCTTTTCACAAAAAAATACACACTTACACACACATTGGAAAATCATAAAGGTTATCAGTGTCTGCTTACAATGTCTGCCTTCTATGTAGGCGATTATGGAGACTGGTAAATAATCACAATACATATATTCTTAGATGTAATGTTACAATTTCACCCCATTTCCCTGGAAAAAATACACAACTTTCATATATAAATATATATATGTAGCCTACAAGCCCACAAACAACACCTCAGAACATGTATATGTTTTGATGTGAGGCAAACAAAATACCACTCAGACATTTGATTCTTCTACCCCTCTTTTTGACACTGCCTTTTTTTCATGGACACATTTGTCGGCTTGTCACTTTCAATCTGTCACTTCTCTTCCTTATCATGGCCTCACATTGCGTTCTGTCTCCACGTCTTGACACACAATGATGAAAAGGCATTTTTTTCATGTTGGTAAACTCTTTGAAGTTGTTGCTGGTCGTCTGTAAAGCAAAACCTTATCTCAACAAATATAATTTGCTGCTACATGACAAACTGCCTTCATGTTATGGGTGAAACGCCCCGTGGCATGCTGAAAAGATACATAAGACAAATTTAAAAGGAAAATAAAAATACACATTTTGTTATGAATAATACCATAAGGGAACAAAAGAATTGAAAACTGAATCCTAATCTAATTATCCTTCCGGATACAGAAATTAAACGATACGTGGTGCGGGGGTGTTTTAAAGTTTTCAGAGGCATACAGTCTCAGACTGTTGTGTTCATTTGGGCTGACAAATTAAGTGACAAATTAATTACATTGTTACTGTTGGATACAGACTGTAGCAGATGCAGGGAGAATCTTTTCCGTGCAGCAGTGGAATGGAATGCTGTGTTAAAGTCAAAAGGACAAATTGAGGTGTAGGCTTCCCGTACTTAAACGGTAATATGAAAATTGTTCTACATGTGTCAGAGGAGCTCCGAGACAACACGAATAACAGTGATATACGTTTGAAGAGATGAATTACTTGCTATCCTCTATGCAAGTATACCCACGAAGCCACTCTGACTCTATTTGTCAAAGCCTCATCCTGTATTCTGAGTTACATTTATCTTTGTCTCTGGCAGAGAGCTCGTACATACACAAGTAAAGTTTAATTTCACACAGTGGCTTTCACAGTGATTTCCTCTCCTCTTGTTGTTTGCTTTTGAAAAAGAAGATGCATGATAAATGTTAATGGCATAAAAGCAGTTTATCTTCCCATAAAAGTTTAACGTCAGGTTAAGCTCGACATTCTTTGTCTGGAAACCTTGGACTGTGCACCGACTAAAATTATTTATTCTACTTGAGTTACTTCTACTACTTGGAATTATTATCAACTTTCAAGTCTTGAAAACTATAATTATTTATTTAAGTTTGAGGGAACAACACTTCTACAAGTAGTTCTTTTACTGCTTTTATCAGTGCAGATGTAAGTACAAAGTAGACAAAAAAACCACAACAGTGATAATAAACTTACTGATTTGAGTTCTATGAAATTTACCGAAGGCTAGCAAAAGCTAGACACTATCAAGGAGACATAGATGGTATTATTTATCATAAAGTCACTAATATGTGTTTCTCTGCTTTACCTTCTCTCTGATCCCAACCCATATCTGACCCAGACAACACAGCTGGCATCCGGACTCAGCGGTCAGGCTTTAACCGCCATGAGCAGAACGTGTACTTCCTGCCTATTCTAGTGGTTGACAGCGGGCCTCCCTCCCTCAGCTCCACAGGCACCCTGACCATTCGTGTTTGCGGCTGTGACACAGGTGAGTGCTGCTGTATGAGCTGCACCATTACTAACATTATCATCACTGTCACCTTCTGCAGAAGCGGGAGTGCAAAAAGGTCATCTACATGCCAAACAACAAAATAACACAAGGGCATAAATTTGCATTAAAATGGTCCTCTACTGAGATTTCACACTCTTAAAATCATAATATATACATGATAAAAGACATTTTCTTTACAAGATGAGGCTTTGACAAACTGCCTGTGTTAAATTTGCAAAGTAAATGCTCCTTTTATGTTTTATAATGCAGATGGAGCCATCCAGTCCTGCAATGCCACAGCCTATGTAATGAGTGCAGCTCTCAGTCCTGGGGCACTTATAGCATTACTGGTGTGCATGCTTATACTAATAGGTAAGCAAGAATGTTCTTGTAAATGCATTGGAAGATGAATATATTGCTGTATGTTGAATTGTTGTATGGATTCATTAGTTTGCTTTTTTGCCGTAATGCTTAGTTTGGGATGTTTACTTTGAGATTCAGTGGAATCACAGTGGGATCAACTAGTTGACAGCTGGGCCTAAAGACATCAATTCAAGCTCAGTGCCTGTTTGTCATTACATTCCTACAGTCATGTTACCTTTTATTGGACTGGCCAGTTTTATATTTAATCCATATGTAATTAAACTGAAAATGCATATTTGTTAAAAACTTAAATGAGAGACATTAAAACAGATTAAAAACACATTTTGTTGCTGCTTTCACTAGAAGAAAGAGGCACAGATGACATCTAGTTTTGTAAATGATATCAAGCTACTTTGATCCCTGGAACACAGACTGTGATGGAATGAATGGGAGTGAAGTGGAAGTCGTCTTGAGAAAGCAAACGTGTGAAAGAGCAGCCTCAGCACTTGGAATAGAGGCTTTAAATAGGCGTTCCAGAAATTATTGGATTTTTATAGAGAGACACATACACATGTGCACCTCCTAGCACACATAAATGCATATGCTAACCCCCTAAGAGATGTTTGATATTGCCATTTTTTAAATTTTCATGAGTTTCCCTCCCACTTTCCCCTTCTGTACATGTTGGTGCTCCACTCCACAGTGACAGCATGAGACCACAGCGCTGTCACTGTGTTTTGTTTCCCTCGCTCGTTCCTCGACACACTTTACATTGCACAGGAAGTGAGTGATGGATGATGTGACACTATGCAGACTCAACTGTGAATAACATCGCTAGCTATTTCTTTTAAGAGCTTTTCTAATGAGAGTTGTTAAAACTCTGTCTCCATTAACTGAAACATCTACTGCAGTGAACTTCAAAAGCAGAGCATCATTTATTCATCATGGCTTTAAAAGCCTCAACAAAATGTTGTGTACAAATCCAAGGCAACCTCTGCTGGCTATAAAAACATTTCTCTGGTATTGTGGTTATGGTACTCTGAGCAACATTGCATCCCCCTGAAAAACCTGGGTATGGCCTTTAAACTACTAAAAAACTCGATTCTGTGCATGAAAATAGACTGTACAAAATATTTTATTTAATGGGTGGCTTAGTGAACAAAAACAAGCAGTATGCAGTTTTTTTCTTTAGTAATCCGTGCCATTCTCTTGCCTGTAAATGTGCCTCATATAAAAAGCTGAAGGACATGCTAGGTTAAAGCGCCTACATTCTGCTAGTCATCATGTGGACAGTCAAATCTCAGGACTGCAGGGGTTAGGATCAGGGGGATAAACACTGTTTTCACAACTATCATGTAGTGTGAATAACAACACTAGAGTAGGACATGTGACAGGAATCGTATCACTTCAGCTGCACACTTTCCTCTTTTCCTTTTTCATACTATACCACATAACATGCTATACACCTATACAAATTGCAAACCTAGATTAATAACTCCACTCTTAGTAACTGCAATATAATTCATTCTCTCTATTCAACGTTATTGTGTGCACACCATCTTCTCTCTCCCACATATGCAGATATAGACTCTGACTGCCTAACCAACAAGCTAGCACTCTCTCCAGAGACTGGGCAACCTCTATTATATCAATTGTTGGGTGATGAGAAAAATGAAAACAAATTTCTGCCTAATTACCTTACGAACAAACAATCCCTCCATCAGTTCATTTATAGGCCTGATGTGATGAATCCATTTCACTGCGTTGCAGCATCTGCATGCATCTATTCCAATTACCTCCCATCTGCTTGTGATGAACTCCCGCATGGGGGCAACCAGCGCAGCCCAAGGGTAAATTAACCGTCTTGTCAGGAACGCTTATCGCAACATCTGTACACATAGGGACCAGCTTTGTATGTATAAGAGACAGCTATGCGCAGGTACATATGCTTCCTGCAAGAGTAAACTCTGTACATGGTGTTGAATTGAAATTTAGACGTGCTAATCTCCAAGTTAAATATGTTTTCAGTGGCTTTCAATTCAGGCATCTGTATACCTTAAAGGTAAATTCCATTAGGAGGGTTTTTGAAAACTGAGGCTATCAGATCATCTTCGCTTCAGAATGCCACATAATAGCACATACTCTTTAACACAGTTTACTGAAGGGAGGCTGTTCTGCACCTAGGAGTTCATAGTTTCCTACCTCCTATTAGTCTTCACATTAGTGTGAATTTAGAGTAATTGTCTTAGTGCTTGGTTAGTATGCATGGCTGTGTGTGCCACAGTTTACCACAAACTGTGACTCTTTCTTCAGCCGCCTGGCAATTAATTTACCCAATTCATACAGGAGAAGAATAAACACAATGGCTACAGACACCGTATCCCAGTGGAGCCCAGCAAACAATGTAAGAAGAGAACAACTGTACATATCAGTCAGAGATGATGAATAAAATCCAATTCAAGATCAGCAAAGCTTTTTAGTCTGTGTCACAGCTCTCCAGGCAATGAACCCACTGGGTGTTTCACTTTACAAATGAATTTTAGGGCATTTATAGCAATTGAAAAACAATTACCAGGAACAGCAACAACTCGTTGTATAGATCCCATCACTATTATATTCTAATGTTGTGTAGGGCGTACAAAGAAATGAGATGGGAAGAAAGGTGAAATATTTATTAATATAATCATATGACCTTCAGCGGCATATTTCCGTGCCCTTATGCATATTAATATACACGCTTTAACATGTATGGATTTCCTGTACACAGCACCTATTTCTAACATCCATCTATTTTGACTCTGAAACAACGTCACTATAGCTCATTTTCACAATGTATGAATGGGTATTTTGGGTTCAGGGCATCAAACAATATGTGCCATCCAGGACAGCACAGGCACCATTATAATTGATAGTCTTTTTATCTCTGTGGGCTTGTAGGCATCTGTTTTAGGCTATCTGTTCCAGAAGATGCATGATGTGTACTGCTTAATGATCTATCTGAATGTCCCTTCACTGGCATCCCTTTAGAGCTGTTGCGTATTGTGCCTGCTAAAAGGAAAAAAAATACTGTAGGTACAACAAAGCATTTTAGAGAACATGCCAGGCAACTTCTTTTCCCTTATTGAGATTATATTGTAAAACGGGAGAGTAGAATAATTAGCTTTCCATTTTAGAGACAGAAACAATTCGGAGCCTGCAAGAGTGTTGTAGTACTTGCCAATTTGTCAGCAATTTGCAATTGGCAGTGTTTTGTGAATCAGGACAGTGCTGCCATTTATAATCTGTTTTTTGTGAAATATGGCCCTCAGAAGCGAAAGACCATCGTTTTTCATGAACAAAAATAAACAACAACAACAACGAATGTGCATTAAGATAACAAAATACCAAGGAAGTGAGTCAGAAGCTATTTTGATGCTGTTGTACAGCCAAGTTCAGTTTTTGATCTACAGTAGATTTTTTTTCTCCTTTTATTTTAATAAATGAATGTTAGTACAATCGTATTGACAGGCACATCAGAATAAAGTACTTTTATCCTTGTCTTTCAGAGTATTTACTATGCACTGTAGATAAATCCCTTTGCACATTCTTCTTTGCTAATAACCTGATCAAAGAGCAGCTAGATTGCTGTTTATCCCACTACTCAAAAGATGTTCATTATCTTTGTCACACTCCCCAGTGTGCATCATTCATTAATAACTGGCTCTAATAAGTTTTTACCATCACTGTAAATGACATGTAATGTTGTTGCAAATCTGAGACAAATCTGGTGGAAGTTTCAGAGGGAAAAGTGCAGCCCTGAGGAGGGATGACGAAGTTAGAGGGTGGGTGTCTGAGCTAAGTGAGACTTGTCTAATCACAAATGAAGGCAGTAATTAAAACAACTAAGCTGAAATGAAAGCCAGATTGATTTATCTGTGCATACAGCCTTTGTTTTCCTCTCATCTCATTAGTCCATAACAGGATCTATCACAATTCTTTTTAATCAAGACTTTTAAGCATTTATCTCTCTTTCTGAGTGGTCTCCTCAATTTCTTAGCTGAAGAAACAAAAACTCTTACTTTCACTTGACTTGGATGAGTATTGATATACAGATTGGTCTCCATTAAGCCTTTTGAATCATATTTCTGAGCGAGGCAATCAAGATGTTGAAAAATCAATGCTCATGCATTTGAAATGTAAAACTTGATAATATATTATCTTCCCCTGCGGTGCCTTTGCCCCCGTGAGGTGAAATCAAAGTTACTATGGGTGTAGTTAGAAACTTTCCTATGGAAAGCACTTGCAAATCCATCATGTGCAGTGTACGCTCGACATACACATTTAGCTCAGTAAGGAGAAAGAGAACACGTAACGAGCAAAATTTATTGCAGAAACCTGAGCATGCAAAATAGAAGCATTTTACTCAGATGAAAAGCAACATCATAGAAACCCCAGATGAAGGGAAGGTAGACTAGACTGCAAGGACCCAAGCCACCGGCGGTGAGTTAGCAGATGGCTGAAAAAGACTGTTTAAGATGAAGTGGACAATCCAGATGGGTTGAAGATGCGAAAGAGACAGTTTGACAGTCAGATTAACAGACTAATAGGACTTTTTTTTAAAAAAGGGCCTGAACCTGAAGGCATTTTATGTGTTTTTTCATCACAAAATGACAAGGGGATTCACTTTTTGCATGCAATATGTTTAAGCCTCTGTGTGATGAGAAACCTGTAAATGAGAACCTTTTTATCTGTTTTACCAAAGCACGAGAATTCATGTGTGGGAACGTTTGTGGATATATGTGTTTTTGTGTTTGTCTTTAAATCTATTCACTGAATTGCTAAATATGTTATTTTAATGTAGAATTACAAATATCGTCTCTTTTCACTTTCTTGTTCTCTCTCTCTCTCTCTGTCCATCAGTTCTTGTTTTGCTGATTCTAACCCTGAAACGCCACAGGAAGGGCCAGAGGATGACAGAGGACGAGGAGGACATGAGGGATAACGTCATCAAGTACAACGATGAGGGTGGAGGGGAGCAGGACACTCAGGCATATGACATGAGTGCTCTGAGGAACCTCTATGACTTTCCAGAGGCCAAGAGCTGTGACTCTGGCCCAGACATCCGCTCACTGCCACAGTGGATACAAGCTAAACGAGTGGGTGGCAGCGGCGCAGAGGCAGCTGCTGCGGCAGCAACAGACTTTTCCCTTTTCAAAGGCTACATTCGAAAGAAGGTGGAGCAGGCTGATGCTGACCTGTCAGTGCCACCATATGACTCCTTCCAGACATACGCCTTTGAGGGCACCAGTTCGCCGGCGCTTTCGCTAAGTTCCATTCATACACTGTCCACCACCTCAGAACAGGATTTCTCCTATCTCAGCGAATGGGGACCACGCTTCAGGCAACTGGCAGGCTACTACGCACCAGGAAACCCTGAGGAGGAAAGGTCCTAGCACAGCTTCTTCTCAGCAGAGACACTTTTAAACACCCTCTTCTTCCTCCTACTTATCTCTCTCTCCTTCTCACCCTCTGGCAGGCTACTGAGATCAGAGCCAGTCTATGTACTCATTAAAGTCAGAGTACCACCTCTTTATCTCTTTAGCAAAATTCCCAGTCTCAGACTTTGAACTCCTTTGAGAAAACTTTGAGAGTTTTTTGGTTTTTTTGCTTTCTTTTTTTTTTACACTTGTTTGTTTTTTCGTGCGTGTGAGAGTTTTAAGATTTAAATTCAAAAGCTCTGGTGATCATATGAAATAAGGAAGAGAATGAGCGATATCTAAAACTGCTATTTAACCGTGTGCAAAGGGAGAGTTTGTTTCTCTCAGGAAAGAAGAACATTTCTTTTAAGTTAAAAGACGGACTGTCAGCATTACATGGGTGGGGTTAAACCATGCCAAGGTAAAGTGTCATGTATTTATTTGATGCCGAAATATTTATGTATTTATTTGTTTTTATGTATTTATTTATTTATTTATGCCATGCTCACTATGGTAACTACAAGAGTGAACTCTGCTAAAGTGTTAATGAAAAAGTGAGGGGAAAAGGACATCATTAATCAAACGACACAACATGGAAGAAAGAAGAACTGCATTAGCAGGGGAGTCCACACAATACCAGTGAAGAGATGACATCTGGGTCATATAAAATTACATTCTGGAAGATATTTCTATTTATTTTCTATGACCACTTTTGTAAAATAATAACCAACTTCAAACAGATATACGAAAAGCAAAGGAAACTAGAACAGAGGCAACACACTGAATAATAGAACTGCCGAAGAAAACAGCTGCCAGTTTAGTCTGAATGGCAAAGACTGATGCACTTTTGCTGTATTTTAGTGATTTATAAAAAAAAAAACAGAGGGGAGTTTATGGTGACAAACTGAGGAAAAAAAATGTGTTTTAATCATTTCTTATCCTTTCCACAGCCATTTTAAGGCAATAAGGCACAAACCGCAGCAGTGATTTAAGACGAAACAAAATGACTGTTTTCCTGGAATTGGCTGATGCCCAGCCTTGTCCTACAGGGAGCCAATCTTTATTCCAGATGTGTGTGTGAATGTGTACAATATGTTCAGTTTATTTCATATCCTGAGATGTTTAATTTTCCTTTTGACATTTTATTTCCTTTGGGGTGAGGGGAGAACGGTTATGTCTAATTAAAGAAAGAGTTTTATGGGATAATGTGATTAAGGAAGTGGTCACATCCACCTGGTACCCACAGCCTTTTCAGTGTTGACCTTAACCTGCAAATGTATGGAAAATGAAAAAAAAAAAAAGCTAAATAAATATTTGATTTTTTGGTAAAAACTACATCTCGCTTGGTGCAATAAACTAAATTACTCAGTGAATTGCTTTGTAAATGAGATCATGGAGATAAAGTAAATAGAGCATCTCTGTTACTAATTATTGTTTGCCACTTGTTCGCTGAAGATGTCTGCTGAATTATGAATAATTGTGGAGCTAGGTTTTGTTTACACCAGGGGTAGATTCAGAGAATAGTTGTAGATGGAAACAAACAGACCATATGACAGGCCACAGCCAAACAAAGACTCTCCTCTCAGCGTGTATCCCTCCTGGCTGCCTTCTGCCATACTACAGTAATTGTCGTAGTCACCAGAGGATGCTGAGGTATATGAAGTTGCTTTTATCTTTCTGACCTGCTGCTAAAATGGCCCTTCAGACAGTGGCTTGGATTCACATTCAAGTCCTTTCATAACTGGGTTTCAAAGAAATGTCAGGGGTTTTTTTCAGTAGCGCTACTGTATCCACTCATAGTTTGCTAAGAAGTGACATTGAACTATGTTTCAAACATAACTTATCCATCACTGCTCGACAAAAAAAAGGTATATCTAGACTTTCATTCTACAAAACTAAAGTAACAGCAGCATGACAAAATATATGCTGCCACGCTATTTTACAAGTATAGCAGTGATGCCACAATTAGCAGCACAACTTGACTTCACGTTGTTGCAGTTGCAGAATAGTTGCAACTCTTTTTTTTTTCTGTAGTTATTTCAATCAGCATCAAAACAATTCTGTAATTACCATATGGATGGATAGTCTTTAAAAAATTGCGCACCAGTAATTAAGTTATGTTAAAGAAGAAACTCAAATTGATTTCACAATTTAAATCACATTTTACATCCCTGGCTTCATCAATATGCATTGTACTCTATTATACTGTATTGATCCATACTGCATCAGTGTTTGTATTTATTTGTGCATCTGTGCCAAGGAGTGGTTGGCCATTCATTATTAATCATAGCTTTTAGCCTAACAGCATTTGCTCACTGACAAGCAAATGTCGTACGCTGGATGGATTTATACAAATGTAGGTCAGCATGAGCTCCCTACTCACAATCATAAAGGAAGGGTTGCATGTAAATGTCCTTTAAACAAACTATGTAGACCACAATGTTGTCTAGGTGGCCAAAATCTGCAGTCAAAGAGGTCATGTGACTAATGTCGTAAAAGCTGAGGTTGAAGAGTAAGCACATATTTAGGGGAAATGAGATCGTCCAATTGCATCTGTACATCCATGCAAATGCAAAATGAGCCTTTCATTCATCTTCCGTCACCGTCTAGGAAAGTGTCAATCTGCAGTGAGGACCTGAACATGTGAACATATGAATGCATTGCCATAAATCAGAATATCCCCCCAACTCCAAGGGCAGCATGAGGCCAGTCATTAGTTATGTAGATAGATGGCTGGTGATTGACAGTTCTCCAGGGGATAGCTGTGTGCAAATTAAATATCCTCTTCTCTTTGTACTTGGCTGGGTAATGACAATTGATTAAACATTGGGGAAATATGAATGTGTGCTGCTGAAAATATCAATCACACATAGCCTAATAGCTGAATAGCATTCGGGTTTTTTTGTGTGTGTGTGTGTTTTTTTTCTCAGGCATTAAAAACAAAGCTTTCACCTTCAGCAGTGTAAAAACAAATTCATTTAGCTAAAATGCAGTGCAAGTACACTGCATAAGCAAACCAGACTACAAATGCAGCACTCTGACAAGGTGAATTAATAAAATGAGATGAGTATAATAGATAGATGGCCACTCACTCTTTACAAAAACTGGACTCGGATAGAAAATTGTATGTCTTTTTCTTCACAAAATGACACCTTTTCCATGGGCAGAGAAGCGTTTCATTCAAAGATTAGATAATGACCATGACTTTTATCTTACGGTTGTGTGACAGCGCATTACCTGGGTCTGCAAAGAAATCATTCAGTACAAATCTGAATAAAAAACAAGGCTCCCATTTATTTGTATAGCATATTCAAAGCTCAGAATTAAAGTTAATTAAAGGCTTTGTCAGATAAAACACACAAGACATCATGAGTATAAAAAATGATAATAAAAAAAAAAAATCAAATTACATCTAATATCTATTCTACTTCAGGTTCTGAAAGAGAAAAGTCATTGACAGCAAACATTTGGGGTGAGGCAGGCTGCAATCTGGACAGGTTTGCCACAGGTCTAAATCATATAGAAAAGAGGCCATGAACAAATCTGCTTCAGCTTACCTGCGTGCCGTCGGACTGTGGGAAGAAACCCAAGCAGGACAGTGGATAACACACAGACTCCACAGTGAAAAGCACAGTATTCTCAAATAATTCATTTTCAGTTTGAGGCACCACTGCCACCATCACATAAAAATGTGTACTTTTTTAAAAAACATTAAGATAATATTGATTCTGGCATTGCCTGAGGTCCACTATCTTATACGAAGGTCCTAATGGGAAAAATCCCAGTTACCCCTTCTTTTGATTTTAAGTCTTAGATAAGTAAACACAACCCTGCTAGAGGATCAGAGGTTGTGCACTGACTCATGAAGAAATAAATGTGTGCAGTAGCCAGCGGCGAGTCCTGAGCAGGCAGTAAAGCTCAGTAAAGCCTGGAGTGATTATTTGTGCCTTATTCAATGATTCCATGATTTATTTATTAATTTATTTGCATTGTATTAGAGATCTAATAGTGATCTAATTCAAAATAACTATTACCTAAAATTTTCCAACAAGCAAGATGTAATGCATCCCTCAAAGAATTAGCAGGTTTCTACTGCCTGTTTTTTTTCTCCATCCTTTGTTTTTGATTTCTTTGGGCGGTCATGATCCCGCTACATATAAATCGAGTCATTCGTGTTTTCATCTGTTTCTGCCATTTTATCAAAGCTGCTGGTGTCTCACAGATACACAGAAGGTCTCTTTATGGCAATAGGGAAACAGGTGTCTTGCTCCCATCTCGTCACATTTAAATGAAACGGGTGGGTTTCTTTTTACAACATGCAGAGTTACTGTTGTCAAGGGGCATATTTTCACCTAAGCTATGATATTTTTGTAAGTCTAAGCAGCTTTCAGTATCTGAAACTAACCAGGTACAGTGCAAAACACAGAACTCCCAAAAGGAACACAAACTGTGGTCTCCTGGCTCTGAAAGTTCCAGCTTACTTCCCCTCTACCCCCTCTGACCTTCTAATAAGGGTTTTATTGCTCTTTAAAAGATGTTATCTCTGCCTAATGTCTAATAATATCTTGTGTATAATATTGGCTGTGCACCATTGCCAAAGGACACCTTGTGCATATAGACCTTGTGCAAGAGCAGCATTATCAACAGAATGACACTGTTTTACGTCCAAGGATGTGAAAGCGTTTTAAAATGTTAGTCAGGTGAATTAGGTCAGGCGAAAGCGCATGTTAATATATATATATTTTTTGCTATAGAAAGGTTTATTTTTCAGATATGCATACATGTGTAGGTAATTTCTCAGAGAAATGTTTGATGTGCAGCAATTATAGTGACAGATGGTAAACATATTAAACACTACCACTCCTTTCTGGCTAAATAAAGGTGAGAGAGGGAGCTATGGTTGAACAAGAGTGAATGACAAGAGCATTAGCAAGACCAAAGCACTGAAACAGAAAAATCAACATTATTTTCTAAATGTTTCAGCACCGTTACATTCAAAAGCACAAATTAATATTTTCAAACCTCCTTCATCCTGTCTGGTGTGGCTGCTTTGCTCTGCATGTGTGCGTAGCTCACTGACTGTAGAAAACATATATTTATACAGTCATTGATGTGGCTCAGCCAGCCCTGGCCTCAGTCAGACACACACTTAGAGCTCTTTAAACATTCGTAACAAACAGAGAGTGGAAGTTGAGGAGATGAGTCAATAATGTACCCTTGTCATTGTCCTTCCTTCACATTAATTAATAGTGGGTTAAACACCCACCCACACAACACTGCTCTTCTAAAACATCTTGAAAACAGCAAAATAAGAATAAAATCACTAAATTCAGGGAGAGGTTAATACAGAAAGTTAAACTGAAAAACACTTCACAAGTAATGGTTTTGAAAGACTTATTGTTGTCTGTAGTGTCTATTTTGACTGGAGTCTATTAAGGTTATGCAAACACATGACCACTGTGACATTCATTTGGTCACCATTTTGGATGTCTAAAAATGTAAGGTCAGGTGAATAAAGTGAGTAACGACCATCTGTCAACCTCCTGTCGCAAGGGAAAAAACAAGTATTCTCCAAGTGGTTGTGAGGGGGTACTACCATACAGGCGGAAGATGATTGCTGATGCTCCAATCACCCAGGCCAGCCTATCAGTCAGCAACCCTATGGAAACCACCATAGGAAGGTAGGGAAGGAGGCAAAAAACACTTCTCAACTTCTAGTTTGAAACATTTTTCCCAGTTTTACTACTGCTTGGCTTGTAGTTAGTAAGTATTTGCAGACAAACATGAAATACTATGGGAACCTGCCAGCAACCAAAGCACTTACTAGCTTTTTGGTGCAGCAACCCAGCAAGAGCCAGCAGCTTCTAGCAACCATTGCCAGCAACCAGTCGATCATTCAAGGCACCTAAAGACTGTACAAAACTCTGACCATTTAGTCACACTATGTGGTAAGATGTGTCTAAAGTATATTTTACCTAAGCAAAGTCATCTTTTCATTTGTTAGTGTCATTGGATGAAAGCCTATGGGTTAAGTGATGAGACAAACAGATTTCAAAACTGAGGATATGAGTCTAACACATTCTTATTCATTTGATTCAAATACTGTTGTTTTGTTACAACGTGCTAACATCAGACTGATACATACAGTGTATATATTGGCATTGGTGCCCGTGATGGACCGACCACAGCAATAACGCATGGCACAGCTTTAACAGAAACAGCTGTGCTTCATGGCCAGGAAATGAGCTAGTCGGTCACTTACATAATCAGCATTTTTTTTTTCAAAGATACTGCAGATTAAGATTGTATTAAAAGCTGCACCTGCCAATTGTCTTT